GACGAGAAGACGCCATACTTTTAACGCCGTCTTTGATACCGGAGAAGAACTCGAAAGACCGACTTTCTATGAACCTCGGCATAGATAGTTGATATATTTATTTATGTGATCCTATAAACTGATCTTCTTAAGCTGACGCGAGGTTGGTACAGTTCTTCGTTGTCGTTGCCGTTGTCGTTGTTTTTGATGTTATTGAACGATGGCTGACGTTTCGGCGACTTCGCCTTCCTCAGAGCCGTGATGTTACGTGCGCGACTCAACGACAACGACAACGACAACGAAGAACTGTACCAACCTCGCGTCAGCTTAAGAAGATCAGTTTATAAGATCACATAAATAAATATACCGGAGAAGAACTGTTCCTCGGAACATGCGACAGTAGAGGAATCGGCGGCGTCGGCGTTCTCGTCAACACGATTTTGTCCACGAACATCGATTCATTCGAGCAACTTACAACCTGAATCGGACGTTTACGATTGAAAAGGCGTGGATCAATTCCGGCTTTGACAATCCTCGTCATTTATGCCCCGACATCATACTATGACGAAGAAGAAGTCGAAGCGTTCTATATGGACTTGGAGAAGTTCTACACAAAAAACCACACATTCTTCAAGCTCAACAGTGGAGGTTTCACTGAGTATATAATGGCGACCAATACAATCCATGGTAACTAGCAATTCCAGAAGCCTCACCCTCAGCGCTGGACGTGGGAGTCTCCCAATGGAAAGTACCATAACGAAATAGAACACATCATATTAAACCGAAAGTTTTGCCTAACCGTTGTCCCAAAATTCTACACGGGATCAGACCACCATTTCCTTCGTGCAGGATTCTATTTCTAGCGAAAAGGAAAAAAAGTCGCTAAATTCAAAAACCGAAGTACCAGAACCATCACAAACTGGGATTTATTCAATTCATTGGTCAGCTGTTGGGAAGATGCCGTTGTCGATAACATCGACCAAGAAGACGATCGGTTCATTCAACATCTTAACGTTAGCGTTATAAAAACTGAGAGTTCGAAAGTCATCAAGAGACGTCTGTCTCCAGAAACACTCGAGGTGATACACCAGCTTGGAATCGCACGAGATGCAGGCAACCGCGAACAAACCTCCGAACTTGTAAAACAATGCAGACAGGCTATAAAAGAAGACCTTAAAGAGAGAAGAGCACCAGTAACGGTCAAAGCTGCAGAGGTTGGAAAAAGCGTTCGCAAAGCCCACCGAAGCTTCGCCTATTACAAGACCAAAATGATTGCTCTCCGGCGCCCAGACGGAACAGTTACAGCGTCCAGAAAGGCGATGAAGAAAATCATTCACGAGCACTACTCGAATTTCTTCGATAGCCACGTCCACCTTCAGTTATATGAAATAAAGGAAGATGGATATGTTGTTCGACCAGTTCTACCTTCCGAAATCCGATATGCTATTTCGCCGGTGAAAAATCGAACAGTACCAGGTCCAGACAGGACAAGACCAGAACACTTGGAGAACCTTCCGCCAGTCCCCGCAAACACACTGGTTCGGCTCTTCACACGTTACCTGCTTGAATGCAAGGTGCCTACTCAGCGGAAGACCAGCAAGACCGTGTTTTTGTTCAAAAAGAGTGACCTGCACGATATCGGCAACTATCGCCCAATCTGCTTACTGTCTGTCGTTTACAAACTTTTCACTAAACAGGATTGACAGAACACTAGACGAAGGACGGCCATATGAGCGAGCAGGGTTTCGAAAAGGATTTAGTACAATGAACCACATCCAGACGATAATAAGCCTTACTGAAGTATCGCGAGAGTACAAAAGATCGCTCTGTCTCACTTTCATCGATTTACAGTTGGACTTTGATTCAGTTGAGATAGAAGCACTCTTGAAAGCTCTTGATAGCCAAGGAGTTCCTACCCAGTCCATAAAGACTCTTCGTGAGCTGTACAATGTGTCACAACCAAGGTATCACCATTCTTCAAAGATATTAACATTGACGTCAAAAGGAGACTAAGGCAAGGCGACAGGCAATTGCACCATCTTCGCTTTGCTGATGACATCGTCCTTATAACACCAAACATTAGCCAAGCGGAAGGTATCCTTGACGACTTTGATAAAGCCTGTGGAAAGATTGGTCTTCAACTAAATCTTAAAAAAAACGATGTTCGTGAAGAACGGATTGCTTTCGTATATGCTCCCTACACGCTCAACGGAACGAGTATCACCGAATGCTTAAGTTACGGCTAACTAGGTCTGGTGATCAACATAATGTGCGACTTAGCTTCTGAGTTGAGTAGGAGGAAAAAACGGTTTGGAGAGCTTCCAAGAGAGTCGCGGATGTAGTGAAGAAGATAATAAACACCCCACTCCGCGCCCATCTTTGCCACTCAACGATACTTCCTACCTTAATGTATGCGTCAGAAACCTGGTCGTTGCTTAATGAGCATGAGAGGTTACCCAGCATTATCGAACGCGCAGTCGATAGGTCGATTTTAGAAGTATCCCGTTCCACACATGTAAGGGATGGGATCCGAAGCTCCGACCTGCCTCAACGATGAAAAATCAAAGATGCCGTTCTGTACGCCAAACAGTCGAAGATAAGGTGGACTGGACACGTAATGCGTATGAATGCCAACCGATGTACAAGAGCCGTTAATAACTGGATTCCTCGGGATGTCAAACGCACCGCAGTAGAACCATCGACTCAAAGGTGAAAGTTTATCTCAATGAGCCTTGAAGAAGAATATGATTCTCGGAGAGTCCTTAGAGCGAGCAGAACCCACTCAGCTACTCTTGCACGCGACGAGGAAAAATGGAAGATTTACTGCCGCCCGCTTGAGTCACTCGGCGATCGACGGGACTACAAGTGACACAGGTGATGAAAACATGAAAATCTAGTACTTCATGACGAAATTTAAACTTTTACATTCCTTGAACACAAATTACCTAAAATATTTTTTAAGGGTGCTCCCAACAGTTTACCACCTCACCTTGGATGGGCGCTGTTCCTGGGTGTCCGGCTCCGAAGTACAGCAGAGGGTTTCATCCGCCAGAAGGACGTCCCGAGCTGAGAGGTAGTCCGGCATTTTCATCACGAATCCCAAGAAAAAATAAACGATATCAGGATCCACCACCTTCCTGGTATCAAGCTAGTCGCATGGTGGCAAATCTCACTCTGATTACAAGGTGGCGACTGTTTGTGGTGGTGAAGACCCAAGGCAGACTTTGGCTAGGCCGACCACGAGATTCCAGCGGACCACAATTGCTAAGCCAGCAAAACATCAAAATTCTGCTGGTGCTCTCACAACCAGTGTAGGCTTGCCACTCAGTTTCACTAGTACGTTTTTTAAGGGTAAAAACTCCACTGCATCACTATTTTCATTTTCATTTTATTTTTGGTTCACATGTGAACCAGTGGCGAGAATTTTATTACCGATCACGACTTTTGTACAGCTAAAATTTACGCCATTTGGCACAAAGTATTGAGTATTTTTTAGATTTGAAATGGGAAAACATTCTTTTCATGCTGCAGAAGGATGAGCTTCTGAACAACTAAAAAATAACTGTATTTGGCCATCTGGAGGTGGCACCGCTCTTTAAAAAATGTGTGGACAACGTAAAAGATTACTTGTTCTGCGGTCACTTCCCTAAGGACGTATTCACAACATTCGCTACATTTTCCTTCAAATTCCCTATTTGATCTCTCCCTGTCGGACTCCTTGATGCATTTGAACTCACGTGCAAAGGACACATCATGTTTATTCATTTGCACCTTGTCCTATGATAGTCTAGGTCCGTTCGTTGAACAATTACACATTAAAGATAAAATATGGACTCAACTGGATCCGCGAGCGACCATTGCCTGAAGCAGTCGAAGGCGAAGTCAGTGTTTGTGTCTTCATCAGCCAGCTATACTAGCGCTCACACGTTACCTATTCAATGGCAAAAAAGCGACCGCTGACCGACGACGATCGTTGCAGAAGTTATTAAATGCAAACTGTGATGGGGTCCCGTGGAGCCACTCTAACCGGCAATGCATATCAGTTGAAGGTGTTATTAACTGAAACTACAAATGGATGCAATGCTGCTTGATTAAAATGAGGTATTACACTTGGATAAAACTAGTGGCCAGGAGGAAACGACTGTAATTTTGCTACTTAAATTAAAATTTGTCGTTCATACCACACATACTGCAAGGCAAGCAGTACGAGATAACGGTTTCTGCTTATACACTTAGTTAATGAATGTTTTAATATAGAGAGGATCTTCTTTTACCAAATGCCGTCCAGCGTCTTCTTGCTGTACACGTACCCGTTGTGCAGTCCAGTGGTTGCTTAGATTTCCAGAACAAGGATAACAAGTGCATTTCATATCGGCATCAGTGTTTCTGCTACGCCGTCGGTACGAAAGAACGTTGAGAATAATTCCTGCAATGGTATAGTACCACTTTCTCAAGTTCTTTCCTTTAATCTATTATTGAGGCCTCGTACCCGTTCCAGTTCACTTCAAGCTGTCTCCTCAGATTTATGACATCTCGTGGAAGCGGACTCGTTCACTCTCTGCATCACTGAATGAGGGAAAGTGGGAGCAGTTCCGAGTTGTTTGTCCAAAACTCAAGATTTTAATGAAGTTTTTAATCATTCTTCAAATATTTTTTAAACATTTCCTTTATTTCACCTCGATGTGGGTAACCCTTGGTTTATGGATCAGCTTGCTCGAAATTGCAAGATATTAGTGTTTAACAACCTTGCGTAATCTTGCCAATAAAGTCAAATGTTGCCCAGAATGGTAACTAATCACTTCATTTACATCCTCCAGCTATACCTTATTTTGTCACAAGCTTCGCGTAATTTCCATTTGAGGAGAACAGTGGCGTTGTTTTTGGCAAGAAGGTCTTTTTCGAACCAGATGTCTTCGTTGGCTGTTTCTTCCCACTTTTTCATATTTTATCAGCTAAGAATTCGTAGTTCTCAACAAATAAACGTTGTTTTGTAAAGCATGTTTATTGCCTCGAAGGGAATGTTAGAGAGATGGTATTTTCGGGTCGAGGTCAGCACTGCCAAGTTCGTTGAGATTTTCACAGAAACGCTTCATCTCTTCTACTTGCTCTCGCAGCTCTTTGAGAAAGGATTCCATTTGTTTCTTATGCAATTCCTGGTCATCTTCCAGCTGTTTCATGCGTTCTTTTCGTAATCTATCCCTAAATAAAATCAGGTGTAAAGATTAGTCCATTAAAACTGATATATCAATTTTTACTTCTCTATAAGCCAATCAATCATGCATCTCCATTCAAATACTTCTCTCTTCGTGGCTGAGAGCCTATCTTGCGTGTCTTTCAGGAGGCTTAGCAGCCGTTTTTCCTCTAATGATTGATCTCTAAAAACAACATGATGAATACTCTCAATCGTGTTATCTCTTAGCTACCAATCAAAAGTGTGCACACTCTCATATTCGAGGAGTAGAGAAGAGTAAACAAGACAACTGTAACTGGAGCACGATTACATTTTATTCCTATCCGGAAAGTTTTGCTTTCAACAAAATTTTTGATAGAAGGGAAGATCAGAGAGATGAACACACTTGAATGGAGTACTAGGATACTTCGATACTTAGATGGCTCATTGGATGGTTGCGCTGGCTCCAGCATAGTCTCCACTTTTTCCGAGTTTTGCTAGTTTAGCCACTTTGGTTTCCTAGAGCCCGAGGCTAACCGCCAAGCTGAAGTCTGGCGCAGGTCGTCACGACCACACACAGTCGCCGCCCTTGTGGATCGGAGACCGATTTGCCACCATTAGACAAGTTTGGTTTCGCTTGTGCACGGTGTTCAAAACGAACATAACCTTATGGCATGATACTTGAAAAGGCGAGCAAGCGTAACTAATAGAAGAGCTGCCTGCTTCTATTTTCGAAGGGTGACAAACTAGTCGCTGAAAGCAAATAAACGGTCATCTAGAGTATCTATCGTTTAGTTATGTTTAACGAACTCTCCAAAACACTCATACATGGATGCACCTTAAAAATTGGGCATTGCTTCGCAACCGTAGCAAAAGGTGGAAATGGTTTTCTGTATAAACATATACACTATAAGGGCGCGTGTCGCGCAGTGGTCGGAGGCGCCCTGCAACAGGCACGTGGGATTGATCTCCGAGTCCTAGGCCCAACAAGTCTTCCACCTCTCCGGAGTTGGCAAATCGGCACCAGAATTGTCTGGGAGGATAGCAGCACTGACTCTATACATCGGTAGTCCACTGTCTGTCGTTGTAAAAGCAGTCGTCCATTAATACGATGAACAAGAAACTGCCGAAACTTTAGCCATAATAAAGGTTTACAACAACTCTGTGTTAGCTTTTGAATAAGGGAAAAAATTTATTACATTTTGTTACACTAGTGATAATACAAGTAACATACCGATCTTTTTGTTCAAACCATGCATATCTTTGTAGGTCTATGCTGTTCAATGGGAGGAGCTCTCTCCGGCCTCCACCTGGATGATCTTTGTTTTTAAATGACACTTGTGGAATTGAAACATTGTTACCGTGGAACTAATACTATATTGTAGAAAAGCAGACTTTTACACCTACCTGGTGTTGGTGGGAGTCTCCTTCCTTCATGCATTTGTGGTGGTTTTGGCGAATTCTCGCACCATGTGTGTCCAGCGACCAAAGCTGAATCGGAGACACTCCTCATGTTTCACACTGGCTGACTGGATGCCGCTAGAATACAGTAGGTGTAGTTGCACTACACGTATATACATCCTTGGTCACATGCTATCTGTCACTATCAACGTAACACGACGCCGATATCATAGTTTACTTCGTTAAACATGAAAAACAAATTATCATCAACAGACATGTATAAAAGGGCGTTGTCGAGTGAGTTCACTTTATTCCAACAGTGTTCAAAACCCAGCGATTTGATTCGGTACGATTAAGAAGAAGTGATCCGCAAAGAAGAACGGCTGCGAACAATCGCCTCCAGTTATAACAGCTCCGACGGAGATGTTGAATCGCTAGCCGAATAAATTTTGATACCAAAATCCTTCTGGTTCACCAATATAAAGGTGGATGTCCTAATAACTCAAAATACCGATTTCCAGTAATCTTCGGCATTAATAGTCGTCATAAATATGTATATATTTTTATGAACTTTCCTTGTTGAGCTGTTGTGAGGTTGGTTATAAGTACCCGTTGTCGTTGTTGTTCTTGCTCGATGGCTGGCGTTTCGTAGACTTCACTTTCTTCAAGGCCTGGAAGTATTTTATTCAACGATAGTTATACGATGAAATATCTATGAGATTAAAGAAGATTTGGCACGTAATTGCTCGACGTTTCGTTTTAAAATTTACTCAACGCGATGCTGCGTGCACGACGGTTCCCGTGAGATGACGATTGAAATCAGCCCAGGTCAAAAAATGAGCTTGGAAATATGGACCGGGTCACTTGGATAGTGAGGTAATTGTTTTTCTTGTCAACCTTTAGACTTTTGAAATTTATCCAAAGCGCTCCAAGAGTTTTGCCCATTGATGCTTTTGATTTCTGTGCTCGGATGCGAGAATCACTTTAAACTCAACGTTTGTCCTCATGTTCTATGTGTACTATAGGAAGTTTACTTTATTTTATGTGATCCATCTTCACGTCTACTATGCGGATCCCAGCACTTCTCACATCTAATTCGTTCCTTCGCATTCATTGTCCACCGCGCTGTTCCAAGTTTTTACGTGTGACTTCTGTTGCTGCTTGAGGATTTTCATTTCATCTTTAATTTCGTCGAATGGTGGTCGAGTCGATTCTTCCTGAACTCAGAAGATAGTGGGGTTGCAGCGTTTCCAGTTGGATTGCAGATAGCGATTTTTCCCAAACAAGTCCAGTACCAATTTTCCGACTCCGGAGAGATGAGAGGCTTGGTTTTCCCGAGATGGAAACGAACTAACACCATGCTCGTGATGACGGATAACACTACCACAGTGCTATCCGCTTCCTACTGAAGCAAGTAAGTTGTCGAATTTTAAGTTTCCTACCTCGACAATTTTTACGCGAACACAAGGTTAACTCGTTTCCCTAGTGTATTCCTCACCATATGCCTTACATGAGGTCAAGCACAGTGTACCTGAACTCACGCAATGCCCTGCCGGTAGGACAGATTACACAATTTTTTGAGCTGTATGGCCTTACCGGCCCTCCCACAGCGTTACTTTGGAGGTATGGAAACAAGTGTTGATTTTACTAAGGCTGGCGTACAGCTACTCCTTCCTTCCGTCTTCCTACTTGTTAATTCCAACACGATATTAAGGACGAAATCAAAAGCTAATGTAAGAATGAAAAGATGGCCGACCACTGGAGGACAATTTGAAAGCCGAATCCATTAACGGATAACCATTTCGAAATGGGCGTTGTTCTTTTGTTTATTTCTTTTCTTACTTTTATTCTACACGAGGCATCAGTTTGCTTCCACGTATCCGTATTCCACTAGTATTTTCAAATTATTGCATCCAGACGACTGGGCTATTGCTTCAGGATTTTCTACGAACATCGGCAAACGGATTACCATTTCGTCATCACAGTCGGTCTTCAGCTTTTGTAGATCGCATTGGGCAAGCAAGTTGCAGATAAGTCTGGTACCTATTCTCGACATCGAAGGAGTGGTTGGAGCAAGTTCGTTTACCCGATGTGGGGTCGAACCAGGTCACTGCGCATTTTCATCGGCATCACTACTAAAACAGTAAATAACACTCAAATAGTTAAACAAACCATATTTTATCAAACCTCGTTAACGAAGCAATCGATTTGTGCTGTATAAAACTTTGTCTGATTATTGTTGTGAATGCTGAATGAATTCAACCAAGGAAAATACAGCCCTTTCATCTTATTTCTGCCACATGAGTAGGGATCAAACACCACGACACTCCCGCAAAAGCTATTCACCATCTTTCAATGTAGTGAATTCTAAAGTATTCATTAATAGTTGAAAGGTTGGTTGGAACGAAAAAACAGTTCAAATAGATGGTGAGGAATTTCTATGAAAATTTCGTTTTAGCGAGCTTTCTTTCGAAAAACATAACCATAGCGAAGCAGGGACAAAGCTGAAACAGCGAGAACAACCAGCGATAACGAAGAAACTGGTAAGAAACCCGAAAAGCGAACAGCTTAAAAATACACTAGCACAATTAATAACAAGATGAGGTAGAATGGTTTCTGACTATGTAGTTACACCTTCTTTATGTCTACGATGTTCAATGAACGTGGTGAAAAACTTAGGCGAAGAACTTTATATGAGATGGAAAGCTGCAACATCAGCGTATGAGGTTTCGAAATGAACCACTAGCCGAAAAACCATGCTCACCTTCTTGACACAGTAACACTCAAGCGTTCTATTATGCCACTAAGAAGTGGGTTGCAGCCACAGCCGCGTGTAGAGTTTTAATAGCCACCACAGAGCGTCCACATGGCACGTTCTACGATACCAACGACAGTTACCTCCTATGGAATTTATCCAGTCCTTCTGAGTGGTATCACATTGTCGCTATTCAACGCATATACATCTAGAGCAAAACATAGATATTATAAGACTGCTTACAGACGAATAAATGGAAAGAACACCAGGAAACGTACACACCCTTATCTCAAAGCCTTAACGAGGCAGTAAAAGTGTTTAAAAAAGTGAAAACTGAAATGAGAAACCTGGCAAACGAAGCATAAACGGAATGGAAGCCCACTTTGATATAGAATTCTCTGAGGAGAAGAACAGGTAGAAATTGTTGTTGCACGGTTTTGCCGAACGGCCATTTAGCTTATAAATCCATTACTAATAAAATATCATTTTTTACGTTGCTGATCCTTCACCTCTACTGCGCAGATCTCAGGTCTTCTGGCATTCGATTCGTTCCCTCGCACTGTCATCCACGAAGGTCTTCCAACTTTTTACGGCCGGCTTCGGCCGCTGCTTGAGAGTTTCCCTTTCATCATTAATGTCTTTGGATGCTGGTCGAGTCGATTACCTTTGGAGTCCTGAGATAGCCGAGCTAGAGCATTCCGACTTCAACTGCAGAGAGCGACCTTTTCCCAGACAAGTCCGGTACCAATTCCACGATCCTGGAGGAATAAGTGGATTAGTGACCCTGAAACAGGGTCGAACCAGCGCCGTGCTCGAATCGTGTTATCATATATCATGTATATTATATCATATGCAACCTTAGATGTATTCTGCACATTACATATTATTATATCGTATTAATATTGTTGTTATCTTATTGTTTAATATAATCGTAATAGTATATTATATGAATTATATATATCGTGCATATATTATACTACTATATTATACTATATAAAAAGACTTTATTATATTACATATATTTTGTATAAAGGGACCACACTGTCTTTGTCATCTCCATTACCGTTGTTCGTCCAGCAACTCAACCGTGTGCCACTAGAGCCTCGATCTGTAACTAGGGCCTGTCGACCCTGCATAGCAATTCTCTCAAGGATCTAAGAGATAGGAAGAACATTAGGGTACAATTTTTGTAGTTATTATTACAGCTGCCTGAAAGTCGGCTAGGTAGTCTTCCTATTATGGGACTGATATCATGTAGAAGCCAATTGGTAAAAATTCTTGTTCAGCAGTTGTCGTTCGAGGTGTCCCTGGTCCTACTCACCGGTTCTGATTGGCTCAGTGCTTGTGGTAAGCAACATTGATGTACGCTTTCAAAATATACGTAAACCTACTCATGGAGGCATGTGCAAAAATAACTAACTTTGATGGAAGATCCTAAAGTGCTATACTGGGGTATCTTTCACCAAAACAACAAACAAAACGAACTCCATACTAAGAAGAAAACAGCCTTACAACAGCGTTGAGAGAAAAAAGCACGAAAGTACTGCCAAAATCTACAAAGACTTCTGTATGACGCCACCACTGTCTCAGAATGAGTGGGTATAACATTATTAATGAAAGCGAAAAATATAAACACCGTCCACCCTTCCTTTCTACGATACTGTTGAATAATAGAATCGGCTCATTACTACCATCACTGTGATGGCAAGAAGCTTGATATTTCAAGGGCAAAGATTACTGCTTTTTAATACAAGAATGTAATAAGCACAGCTTCCGAAAGAGTAAGGAAGAAAGTCATCTCTACTTCTACCGGACTTATTCGTAAACAAATCCATTTATTTTCATTTAATCTCACAAATGACTAATCTTAGGTTCAGCTTGAAGAAGGAGGTCTAAAAAAGTTTAAAAGAAAACATAAAAAGCAGTTCTTTTCCTGCCGCCTAACGAAAGTTCTACGAACGCTAAGAATATTTGTGCAAGTGAAGCTGACGTCATAAACGGCCTAGATGTCATTTAGTAAGAATAAGTGCATGAATTTTGGAACACCGGGTTGCATGGTAAAGAAAAGCAGTAGGTGGCTTTGCACCTACCGCTTGGAGCAGTTCGTTTTTTCTTCCATAAAGAATTACTGAAAAACCTATGATGCAACGATAATACGATAGGCATATAGTCAGCAGGAAAGCGCATTTATAGCAAATCCAGAATGTCGTAGGTAGTAGAGGAAGCAGACGTTGGAAAAAGGGAACGTTAAGAAAAACACCAAGATGTAGAAAATCAGGTGAGCCGCCAAAGTGATGTGTCTTAAGGGTACTCTCTCGGCAAGTTCATCAAAAAGCATCTTCATGATGTTCTACTTT